CATTGCTTTTTAGAAAGAAAGGAAGGAGAAAAGAGAGAAAAACATCAATGTGAGAAAGAATCATCAATTGGTTGCCTCCCATAAGTGCCCGGACCAGGGATTGCATGCACCCAGACCTCCGACTGCATGCACTGGAACTGGGGATCTTGGACCTGGGATTGAACCTGCAACCTAGGCATGTGCCCTGACAGGGAATTGAACTGCAACATTTTAGTCATGAGAAAACACTCCAACAAACTGAGCTACACAGGCCAGTCCATCATTCTAAATGCTTTCCATGCATCCTAGGGAATTCATCTTACTATTTTTAGGTATATTTATATACCACAAAATGCATGTATTTGAAATGTATACACCAAAAATTTTTAATAAATTATTGAGTTGGACAACCATCATCATCTATTTTTAGAATATTTCCACTACCTCAAGATGTTTTGTGCTCTTTTGCAGGAAATACTTGTCCCTACCTCTAGCCCCAGGCAATAACTAATCTACTTTCTATATCAATAGGTTTGCCTATTCTGGCCATTTTATAAAAAATGGAGTCATACAATATGTGTTCTTTTATGACTGGCTCCTTTCACTAAGCATGTTTTTGAGGTTCACACATACTGCAAAATGAATCAGTAGCTTCTCCTTTTGTACTAAGGAATAATATTCTATAGTATGGACATACCATATTATGTTTATTCATTCATAAGTTGATGGACATTTGGACTGCTTCCACTTTTTTATATTATGAATAATGCTGGTATAACATTTACATACAAATTTTCATGTTCTTATAAGCCTTTTGTATATTTTTTGGGTGACATGTATTCAATCTTTTGCCAGTTTTTTAACTGAGTTATCTATTATTATTGAGTTCTCTATATATCCTGGGTTTGAGCCCTTTATCAGGTTAATGATAATATTTTCTCAGTCTTTTCATTTTTTTCAGTCTATGACTTGTCTTTTCATTTTTTAAATGGTGGTAACAGGTAATTTTTATTTGTTTATCCATTCACATGTTGATGATCCTTTGAATTTTTTGGTTTTGAACTATTACAAATAAAGTAGCTATGACTATTTATACAGAAATATTTGTGAATACCTATGCTTTCATTTGCCATAAGTAAATGCTCAAGAATGGAATCAATGGGTCATGTACTAAGGTTATGTTTAACTTTATAATAAACTGCCACACAGTTTACAAAAATGGTTATACTATTTCACATTCTCACAGTTATGAAAGATCCAGTAATTCTATATCCTCTCCAATACATGCTATTGTGTTTTAAATTTTAGTCATTTGAGGGAATTTATAGTGATATCACATTTGTTCTTCCTTCAAGTTTAATTTCTTTTATTGTGGTAAAACATACATAATAGTTATTTTAACCATTTGTAAGTGGCACCATTCAGTGGCACTGAATATATTCACAGGCTGTGTATCCATCACCATAATCTATACTCAGAGCTTTTCCTCACCCCCAAAATAAACTAGGTACCCATTAAACATTTACTCCATTCCCTTCAGACACTGATAACCTCTGTTCTGCTTTCTGTCTCTATGAATTTGCCTATCCTTAGTACCTCATATTTGTCCTTCTGTGTCTGGCTTATTTCACTAAGCATGATGTTTTGAAAGATCATCCATGTTCTTTGCATATATAAACATTTTATTTCTTTTTATAGCTAAATAATGTTCTATTGTATTTATATACCATACTTTGTATATCTGTTCATCTCTTGATGGGCACTTGCTTGTTTCTCCCTTTTGGCTACTGTGAACAACACAGTCACAAACTTGGTACACAGATGTGTGAGTCCCTGCTTTCAGTTCTTCTGAATATATATCTAGCAACAGAATTTCTGGGTCTTATGGTAATTCTGTGTTTGACTTTTTGAGGAGCTGCCAAACTTTTTCTATAGTAACTGCACCTTTTTCTATTCCCACCAGCAAAGCACAACTCGCTTCACATTTTCATCAAGAATTGTTAGTTTTCATTTTTGTTTTTTAAATTACAGCTATCCTAGTAGGTGTGATATGGTATCCCACTGTGATTTCGATTTGCATTTTCCTAATAATTAGTGATGATAAATATCTTTTCATATTCTTATTGGTCAGTTGCACAAATTTTTTAAAGAAATGTCTAGTCAAAACTCCTGGATATTTTTAATTTAATTTTTTGTTATTGAGTTTTAGGAGTTCTTTGTATATTCTGGATGTTAGTACCATGTCAGATACATGATTTTCAACGTACTCATAGATTCTCTTTTTGCTTTCCTGATAGTATCCTATGATTCATAGAAGTTCTTAATTCAAATGAAGTCCAATTTACCTAGGTTTTTAAAAACTGTTTGTGTTTTTGATGTCGTATACAGAAAAAATCACTGCCAAATCCAATGTAATGAAGATTTTCTCATGTTTTCACCCAAGAACTGTATAATTTACTTTAAGGATTAGATGGAAAGGATTTCTAAAGTCTGAAAGCAAACACTATTTCCTCTTTTTAATATGTTTTATCGATTATGCCACTACAGTTGTCCCATTTTTTTCTCCCCTTTATTCCCCTCAGCCTGACACCGTTCCCCCCTTCCACCAGCATTCCCCACCTTACTTCACGTCCATGCGTTGTATATATAAGTTCTTTGGCTTCTATGTTTCCTATACTACTCTTAATCTCCCTGTGTCTATTTTCTACCTATAATTTCTGCTTCTTATTCCCTGTGCCTTTCCCCCATTCTCCCCCCTTCTCCTCCCCACTGATAGCCCTCTATGTAATCTCCATTTCTATGACTCTGTCCTGTTCTAGTTGTTTGCTTAGTTTGATTTTCTTTCAGGTTCAATTGTTGATAGTTGTGAGTTTGTTGTCATTTTACTTTAATATTTTTGATCATCTTATTCTTCTTAGATAAGTTCCTTTAACATTTCATATAATAAAGGCTTGGTGATGATGAACTCCTTTAATTTGTTCTTATCTCGGAAGCACTTTATCTGCCCTTCCCTTCTAAATTATAGCTTTGCTAGATAGAGTAATCTTGGAGGTAGGTCCTTGCTTTTCATGACTTGGAATACTTCTTTCCAGCCCCTTCTTGCCTGCAGGTTTCTTTTGAGAAATCAGCTGATAGTCTAACAGGAACTCCTTTGTAAGTAACTCTCTCCTTTTCTCTTGCTGCTTTTAAGATTCTTTCCTTATCTTGAATCTTGGGTAATGTAATGATGATGTGCCTTGGTATGTGCTTCCTTGGGTCCAACTTCTTTAGGACTCCCTGAGCTTCCTGGACTTCCTGAAAGTCTATTTTCTTTGCCAGATTGGGGAAGTTCTCCTTCATTATTTTTTCAAATAAGTTTTCAATTTCTTGCTCTTCCTCTTCTCCTTCTGGCAGCCCTATGATTTGGATGTTGGAACACTTAAAGTTCACTTGGAGGTTCTGAATCCTCTCCTCAGTCTTTTGAAAAGACATTCTTGTTTCTTCATTCTGTTCTAGTTGAATGTTTATTTTCTTCCTTCTGCTCCAAATTGTTGATTTGCAACCTGATTTCCTTCCCTTCACTGTTGGTTCCCTGTATGTTTTTCTTTATTTCACTTTGCATACCCTTCCTTTTTTCTTCTGTTTTTTGACCACACTCAACTATTTCTGTGAGCATCTTGATTACCAGTGTTTTGAATTGTGAGGCTCATAGGTTGGCTATCTCCTCTTTGCTTAGTTCTATTTTTGGAGCTTTGATCTGTTCTTTCATTTGGGCCATATATTTTGTCTTGGTGTACCTGTTATGTTGTGAGGGGTGAAGCCTCAGGTGTTCTCCAGGGTGGGGAAACCCACATCACTGCCTTGTGGCACTGCATGTGGGGGAGGGGTCTGAAAGGGTACAATGCCGCTTGCTCAGCTCTCTGTGACTTTCAGTCACTTCCTGTGCTACCCACAAGCAAATTGGGCCCTTCTGGTGCTGTTTCCCAAATGGGTGGATTTGTGTACATTGTAGGACCCTGTTGGTTTCTTCAAGGAACTCTCCTGTGAGGCTGGGAGTTTCTCCTGCTGCTGCAACACCCATAGGTGTTTTCAGTCAGAGGTTTTGAGGCTTTATTTTCCTGCACTGGAACCCTGGGTTGCATGGTCTGTCTCCCTCCCCAGTAGTTCCTCCCAGTTTATCTGCACATAAATGTGGGACTGCCTACTCTACCAGCTGTGCCTTGCAACCCTTCTTCTCCTCCCCAGCTGCCTGTCTCTACCCCCTGACCAGTCTGAACTAATGTTTCTTCTTTAACTCCTTGGTTGTCAGACTTCTATACAGTTCAATTTTCTAGCAGTTGTGGTTGTTTTTTGTTTTTAAATTTGTTGTTATCCTTCTTTTGGTTGTGTGAGGAGGCAAAATGTATCTACTTATGCCTCCATCTTGGCTGGAAGTAAGAGAGCAAACACTATTTCTGATAGAGCTTTAAATGGTGCCTTGGTCCCCAGATTCTCTTAGTTAATGATTTGTTAAAAATGAAATGCTCACCATTGAAAACAACTTTGAATTCTTCTTTACAATGAAGAAACATTTTACAATGTGATTAACTGCTTATTAATTTGTCTGACTCTATTTGATTTACTTAGTCTAAATTTTGGAATATTGTTTCTTACAATAGGTCATATAGGTCATATGTGCACACCGATCATCTCTTTTTTGTAATATCCCGATTGCCTGTGTTTGTAATGATACACGTACACATGATACTGAGCACTTCTTTCTTTAGTGTTCCCTACTGCATATGTAGGGTTTTTTCCTCAATGGGATCATATGAGACATTGCATGATTTACTGTCCTATGAGAGGTGAGAGAATAGTGATTAAAAGACAAAAGTTTGATAATACCCACCAACTCTCCATGTATTCCATTAAAATAATCTTTCCACATAGGATATAACCATAACTATGAACATGCATTTCATAAGAATTATAAACATTTTCTCTTATAATCAAACTGATACATTTTGAAAGTTGTGAAAAGGGATGTTTAGTTTGACACCTACCGCCTTTGAGTGTTAAATCCATTAACATGATTCTCTCTGAGTTCAGACACTAATGATAAAACCATCTGTAAAACAAAATCAGTTTGCAGGTTAACATACACTGCAAACAGGATTACATCAGTTCTATTTTTCTCAGTGTGACTGGTATTTCTGTTGAGATTCTCCACCCTCCTGTACCAGTCCTCTCCTTCTTTTACTCTGTCAAAGTGAAGAGAAGCAGTGCCAAGTCACATTTACTAATAACTTGGACTTTATGTTTACTGTCTGTTATTCTGAATGCCTTTTCACAGGAATGAACAGACAGATAATTTTGTAAGAATTAAAACCAAATCCATTAACAATAAAACCATGTTAAAGTTATTTTGTTTCTTCCTTTTTAATTTGATCTTCATTTTTAAACATGTTATTCATATGTAAATCTTCCAAAAGACCAGAAAAGTTAATATTAAAAACCTCCTAGAAAAGCTAAGATCAAAATTAAAATTCATGAATTTAGATAAATTTTTTAAAGATTTTATTTATTTATTTTTAGAGAGGGGGAAGGGAAGGAGAAAAAGGGAGAGAAACTCAATGTATGCATCTTGCACACCCCCTACTGGGCTCCTGGCTAGCAACCCAGGCATGTGCCCTGACTGGGAATCGAACTGGCAACCCTTTGGTTTGCAGGGCTGCGCTCAATTCACTGAGCTACACCAGCTACAGTGAATTTAGGTAAAATTTTTTTTAAATATATTTTTTTGATTATGATATTACAGTTGTCCCATTTTCCCCTCTTCACTCCCCTCCACCCTGTACACCCTCTCCCACCCATATCCCCCCCTTTAGTCATGTCCATGTGTCATACTTATAAGTTCTTTAGCTTCTACATTTGAATTTAGGTAAAATTTAAAGCAGAAGAATGCATAGCTTTAATACCATGATGTAAATACATAACAGAATTTACAAGGTTGTTATTTATTAAAAATGTTGCTTTAACAAAAAATTCCTGTCAAGTTATTTTAAATACAAAATTTGTGTAACAATAAAAGGTTGTGTTTATATTTGTTAAGTAAATCTCTCTGCCTAAAAATCTTTGACAGAATAAATAAAATGTGTTAAGAGACAGAAAAGTTGGTTGATTTAGAATAATCTCTCCTGGTTTCCTCCTCCTTTCTCATAATCTTCCCATCTCACATTTCTTCCTTACATGGCCATAAGTCCACCCAACATAAAAAGAGATAAATATAGAAAAGTTAAACATCTCTTCTAGAGAAGGGATATATTTCCATGTATTTTTCTGATGATATATTAACAAATGAAAATTTCAGTACTGATAAATTAAACATACTCACATTTTTGAGCAAACGAGGATAGTAATCTGCAGATGTATACCCAAGACTTTGAGTAAAAAGACCAACTTCTTTTATATCAAATCTGAATGCTGAAAGTGTATGAGATAACAACCCCTAAAAATGTAAACAGAAAAGGAGTTCTTAAAAGTGAATGCAAGTGCCTCTTAGGTTTAATGCTTAGAATTTGGGTCATTTGTAAATGGGATAGTCTCTATGAAATGAGTAATCTTAATTTGTCCAAATACTCAGTTCACTTTGATTCAAGGTATAAAGAAGAAATAAATTAGTATTAAAATTATTACAGTCAAAGTCAGTCAATTTAAGCAAGTATAAACAGTGAAACAAAAAATATATAATGAACAAATAGTACTTTAACCATATTAAGAATGTATTTTTATTGGTTTTAAACTAAGCAAAATATTTTTATTAGAATAGATACAATAATGAAAGGACAGGAACACACATAAATCACCAGAGAAAGGAAAAATTATATGAAAAATAGTGCAGGGAGAACTATTTGAAAAAAATTAGATTCTTACCTTATGTTACTCATCAAAATATACTTGAACATAAATTCAAGAGATCAATGTAAAAATGAAATGAAATAACAAACAAGAAGAAAATAGAAATGCTTTTCACTGTCTACATGGGGAACAACTTGGAAATCAAGGAAGCCAATAATTGTTCTAAATAAAAATAAAACCTTCTGTTTTTCATAAAATAAATACAAACTAGGAAGAATACTGACAACAAATAATACAGATCATATACAGATTAATGTGCAAAATACCAAATGACAAACACTGAACATAAAAAAATGAGTACAAATAACTCGTAAGAAAAAAAATTAATGCCCAAGAAGCACATGAATAAATGTTCACCCTCATAATCAAAAAGGATAAATTTAAACATTAACATACCATTTTTTTCACTTAATAAATAAGATTTTACAGACATGAATACCTAACTAATACTAATCTGAGTCCTCTGAAACAGTGCTCTGTGTGAGCTATGGGAAGGATACACAAGAGCACCCACACATCAGTGCTGCTGTGAGCAGTAAGGCACCCGTAGAGAGTATGAGCAGGCATGACACAGTGCACAGCACACCATCAAGCTTGGACTGCCAGGATGTGTCAGCCCAGAGGTTTGTAACCTGATCAAAGGTGCTTTATAGATTGATAGAGTCCTGACTTATAAAAAGCAACTTGAGAATACATGATAAAGCTTTAAAAGCATTCAGAGCTTTTAATATATCTGCCATACATTTAAGGAAATAAATTGAAATATAGCAATAGGTATTATGCTCAAAGATGTTCATTACAGTGTTATTTCTCATAGTGAGCACTGTCTAGAATCATGTAATGATTAATTTATAGTACTCTCACACAGTGGTTCATTGTCAGACATTAAAATGTTTATGAAAAATTTATAACAACATTATTTTTTGAAGATTTTATTTATTTATTTTTAGAGAGGGAAGGGAGGGAGAAAGAGAGAGAGAAAGAGAAACATCAATGTGCGGTTACTGGGGGCTGTGGCCTGCAATCCAGGTATGTGGCCTGACTGGGAATCGAACCTGTGACACTTTGGTTCGTAGCCCACGCTCAATCCACTGAGCTACGCTATTCAGGGAACACTTTATTTTTTAATTTAAATTATTTTATTGTTGTTCAATTAGAGTTGTCTGCATTTTCTCCCCACCCACCGCCCTCCCTTGCTTCCACCCTCCCCCTTGTTTTTGTCCATGTGTCCTTTATAGTAGTTCTTGAAAACCCTTCTCCTCACTATCCCCTCCCCACTCCCCTCTGGCTATTATTAGATTGTTCTTAATTTCAATTAATCTGGTTATATTTTGTTTGTTTTTCTCTTTTGTCAATTATGTATAAGAGCATTTTAAATGGGTATATTATAATGTTAAGTGAAGAAAGATGTAAAATTTTATACACAGAAATTATCTCATCAATATAAAAATAATCTATACATGGAAATAAAAAATAATGAAAAAATATCACTAAATGTTGATAGTCTCTAGGGTGGTGTTATTATGTGTATGTATGTTTTTTCTTCTTTTCACTTTAATACATTTTCCAGTTTCCTATATGTGTATGTACTTTTATAATAAAGAAAAAATACTTTTTGAAAAAGTGTTGTATTTGGAAATATTTAAGAGTTTTATTTATATATAACTCATATACCATAAAATTCTCCCATTATACCATAAAATTCTCCCCTTTTAAAGTGTACAACCCTGTGGTTTTTGGTATATTCATAGAGAAAAAGTCTTTTACATTTTTTAAAAAGTCCTGCACTATATTTTGTGAGTACATATTTTGAGAAAAATGATTTTGTGTACGGGCATATAAATGTGTGAGTACATACACAATATTGTAGATAGCCGAACCTAGGGAAGTCAAGGATATGCCCCACAAAACCAGGACAACATACACATGCAAGTAATGCCCAGGGCAAATATAACTAATCTGTCCTGGCACTCATTTCAATTTTATCATAAACTATTCCACATATTCAAAAAGATATAAAGTAGCTCTGGCTAGTGTGGCTCAGTGGATTGAGTGCTGGCCTGTGAACTGAAAGGTCACCAGTTCAACTCCCAGTCAAGGCACATGCCTAGGTTGTAGACTGGGTTCCCAGTTGGGGGCATGCGAAAGGCAAACAATTGATGTATCTCTCACACATCAATGTTTCTCTCCCTCTTTCTCCCTCACCTCTAAATATAAATAAATAAAATCTTTAAAAAACCCCAGACAATTTTTAAAAAAGATATTAAAATAAAATGATAAATTGTATCCACCATCAAACTTAATAAAGCATTAGAAACACAGAGGAAGGCCTTTGTGCCATATCTCCCTTTCCTCATCACAATTCTAGAGGAGTCTCTCCCCTGAGGAAAACCCTACTCCAGACCTGGAACACATCCTTTCGTAGAGATTATGGTACTTTCTCTGCATGCTCAGAATTCTTAAAACAGAACTCCAGGCAACATTACTAAGTAATATAGGTTGAAACCTGCTGTCCCTAAATGAGATCACATCTACTGTTTTCAAATGAGAGAAGTTCATAGTAAGTTAACAAAGAAACTTTGAAATATTACTACTCAGAAGATATTTATGATTTTAAAAATTTCCTGCATATATAAATTTCCATGTATAAATGTGATTTACAAAAATAAATCCAATGGAGAGAAAAAAAAACAGAAAATTTACAGAGTTAAAGTGAATTTTAGGTTTAAGATAATTAAAAGGCTCCTTTTATAGAATGGAGAAAAGGTTGGATAGAAGCTTCTTGCATACTTTTTTCCTTCTGGTTAAAAGGTGTCCTTTATGAATATAGAAAGCAAATAGGAGTTGACAATAGCACCAGGAGAGGTAATCTCTCAGTTATCTTCAAACACCAAGTACAGTCTCGTTGAGAGCGAGCAGTGTGGTAAAGTCAGCAAAGCCAGGAGAGGTAATCAACAGCCAGGGGACCATCCTTTGTGGGGCAATGTTTCCTGGAGGATTTGCCTAGTTTACCACAGTAGGAAGCGAATGTGGTGCTCTCAGCAAGCTGTGACTGGGGCCTGACCCCTATGTAGGGTGCAATGCGGATGTTTTGGTAAAGGAAAGACTAGCCAGACCTAGCCAGCCATGTGCCACATCCATGTGTAAGTACCAACACCAACCCAGGCAGAGGGAGGGAGGAGGTTAAGTTTGATTTGGAAACTATGAGGTCAAGGGCTCAGAATCAGGGGCAGTTTGGGTTTTTCATGAAGGAGATCAGTCTGATGCTAGATGAAGGGAGGACAGAACTGGAAGTGATAAGCCTTCTGAGACCAACCAGACTTTTAGCATTCTATTTAATGAACACTTAAAGCATTTACATGCCAGGAGCTGTTTAAAGCACTTTACAAATAGCAACTCATTTAAACCTCACAGTTTTGCACCTATGGGGTAGGTGCTATTATTGAATCTGCGCTATAGATAAGCAAACTAAAACACACAGAGCTTTAGTAATATGCCCAAGGCTAGTTACCTACTGCATGGCTAAACCACCTTAAAAGGAGCCTCCCTGTATCCACCTTCCCTGAGGCAGCTGGAATAGTTTCTTTTTTTCTTTTATAACAATGCAAATCTAATTGGTCCTCAGCTAAAGGCCCTTTAGGTCTCCCAATTACTCTTAGATGAAGACCCAACTAGTGCCCAAAGCTTTGAATCCTAGCCCCAAGTTTTGTAGCCCCTACTTGGGGCTGACTTTCCCTCACCAGCTTACTTGAGGCCCATTAGGGCCACAGGCTCTTCAGCCCCTCAGCATTTTAGTATGTTTCAGTCCCTCTGCAGGAAGGACTCCTTTAGCCACTCCATGTCCTTAAATGTTGATGCTTGAAGCAATTCTAACAATTATGACAACTAAAATTTATTGAGTGTTTGCTGTTTATTGTGTGAAGCACTACACTAAGGTTTCTAAAAATAACATCTCTCTTAAAATCCTATAAATTCCGTTTTTAATAAAAATCCAATTAAGCAAAGCTTCAATTAAGCCACCTATAAAAGGTGGCTTCTATTGTAATTTGCATGATTACCCTTAAAAAATTAAAGCACAAAGTACTACAGACCCAGTTGGGCTAAAAGGTAATATAGTGTATATACAACAGAAGGAAACCAGCTTCAGGGCTGTTAACAGTTAAGGGTCATTACGATTTTAGGTCTTAAGGAAAACCATGCCAAGGCTTTCCTAGTAATCCACTGCCTCCCAGAAGCACTCACATCCCGGGCCTTGGGACCAGTGCATAGTAGGTGGCTTCCCAAAACTGCTTAAGTTACTTTGGTAGCCATGTCAAAGAAAGTTGAAAAAAGAACAAAAACAAAAAGACCTAGGACACTCAGTAGAATCAGAAGGTGTGGGTAGGGACTGTAAATAATTTGAGTAATGTTTAAAATAGCCATAAACAGTTCCCTGGAGAGTATTTATAACACCTGCAGTGGACAAGCTGACTGTAACACTTAAGGTCTTAGAAACAAAAATAAGTTGATTGGCAGACCTGTCCTGGCCCAAATTTCTAAAATTATATGGTTAACTGACTTTCTAAACATCAAATACTGTAAAGATTAGTT